CCTCCAGAAAGGTAATACATCTCATCCAACGCCCCGATGGAAAATACGTAGGAGAAACCAAACAAGAACTGCGCACCACAATGAACTCTATCGAAGACAACAATACCCAATGACCCGTGGGGGCACATTTCTCACCAGGAAACCACTCTCTCTCCAGTCTCTCAGTTCTGATCCTCAAAGGGAATTTACAAAACACTTTTCACAGACGAGCCTACGAACTTCACTTCATCTCCTGGGTACGAAAAAAATCACAGACTAAATATAGACATTGGATTTATGACACATTATAACCGAACATCTGACTCCCCAGGCACCTCTCCACTATTTACCTGATACATTCATCCCCCTTTTCTCTCCCTCCCCCCTGCCCCCCAGCCTCTCTCTCAGCTACTGACTCCTCAATTTACATCTTCTCTGACTGCCTGTCTTGCCTGCAGACCAGGCTCGCTTCTTTACTATTCACTGGGCCCAGGAAGAGCGCGCACCGACTGCAGAGACTTCCTCAGCCTGAAAAAGGGTTTTTAAACCCAAAAGCTGGCTTAAAATTTTTTTTGCCAACTATTTAAGTTGGTCTAATAAATGATATCAGATTCACCCAGATAACCTGGTCTGCCTTAAACCCTGTGGCGGAGTTGACACCTGGGACCCCTGACAGCCTAGCCGCTCCCCCAGGCCCAGGTAGGGCTGTGAGGGGGGGTTATAAGGCAGGGACCCGCTCCTCAGCCTCTGGCCACGCCCCCACCTCGGCAGCAGCCAATCCCTCTTTTTCCTAACCCATTGCGAACTGTCTGCCCCCTAAGCCCCACCCCTTACGTACTACGTCACAACGCTGCACGTCACGTGATCGCTGACTTCCTCCTCCCCGCCACGCCTTCGGGTAGCAACTACGTTTCCCGTCGTGCCTCGCGGCGGGCTGTCGCAAAGTGTCGCGGCGGCAGCGGCGCTGCTTCGCGGCTGAAGCTCTGCCTTGCCCTGCGCCGGGAGCCGGCGGCCCGGAGATGTGACGCCCGGCATAGGCCGTCGGCTGTAGCCCCCCCTC